TAGCCCTTGTATTTGAGGCACTGGATCTGTGTAAATTGTAATCATGGCTCTCTGATGTACATAGCTTTGCTTGTTCCTATCTATTATCGTGCTTTTGCCATTTCCGTTCTCATGCCTTTTGTTGCCATACTCCATAGAGCATCTGCTGGCATGTTATCAGTCTGTCTGCAAGGTTCCTCCTCTGCCATTCTTGAGAGGAGGAGGATTGAGACATGTCTGAGTGACCATAGATTAGCTGCGCTATGTAATTCTAATCAAGAGTACCTCCTCCAGAGGCCAGTGGAAGCTTTTGCTTTTCAACCTTCTCATGGCCTTCGAGAAAGTCTGTCATGATAAACATTCTCACCATTATAATTGTCTTTTATCACTGCCGCTGCCTACTGTGTAATGCTGACATATGTATGAGGGCTGGACCAAAGTTCTTGTAGTTTCCAACTTTGTAATATTCCTCAGATCTGGCAAAAAGTTCAACTTGAATGCTACTTTTTTGACTTCTAAAATAAAGTGTACCGGATTCACTTCAAAGTGTTGGTTCTTACCTTTAAAGCCCTATATGGCCAGGGACTGGCCTACCTAAGGGACTGCCTTTCCCCGCATGTTCCCCCAAGGGCACTACGGTCGGGGAGCCAAAATCTCCTGGATGTTCCTGGCCCCAAGACCATCAAACTTGCGATGACCAGGGCTAGGGCGTTTTCGGTGGTGGCTCCTATCTGGTGGAATGAGCTCCCAGAGGAGATCCGGGGCCTGCCGGGTCTTGTACAGTTCCGCAGGGCCGGGGAGCTCTTCCACCAGGCTTTCGAGTAGGAGCCGCCGCCACCACTGTTCCATCAACGCCCTATAATCTCCTCACACTACCACCGCTGGTGTGGGTACCATCGGAGGGAGCGGGACGTCCCTAGGAGACAGCAGGGCAGTGGGGATATGCACTGCTGTTGTTGTGTGGCTATACCATCAAGAACACCATCTTGGTTTTAAGATTTGGAAGTGAGTAGGGGAGCACCGAAAATGTCTTTTTATGAATTCTATTTAAGTGTTTACCTTGTATTTTAGTATTTTATACTGTTTTATTGTTATAATCTGGCGTTATGCCTCTGTTAGCCGCCCTGAGCCTTCGGGGAGGGCGGGATATAAATCCAAATAAATAAATAATAATAAATAAAGCCTATTAAAAGGACTTATCGAGTCTGAGTTACTGTGCGAACTGACAGCTAACTGGCTGCCAACCCCTCCCTCCCTAGCTCCCTCCCTCTCTCCCCCTCTTCCTCTGTGATTCTACAAAAATAAAGGGAAGGGAGGGGGAAATCCAGACCCACAAATGCAAGACTGACACATTTGGAGACAGGGAATCCCCCAGTACTTTACATTTATGCTCTCGCTGGCTTTTTTAAAGTTTACCTGAGCAGGAGGACACCTCCTCTTTTGTCTTTGGAGAAGGAGGGGGGGGGGAACAGAACAGGGAGGAAGTGTCAACCTAAACAGAGAGAGGCAGAAACGAGGTGAGGTGTCAGCCTAAAGAGAGAGAGGCAGTGGGCAGCACTTAAATATCCACAGAAACAATTCTACTTTAGAAAGGAATTAGCAATTTGAAAGTGGATGAGAACAAAGAATCACAGCAAAAGGAGTTTTGGTAGCTGTGGGGCAACACTGCAGATTCCTGTAAAACAAATGCAGAAATAAGAGAAAGCCCAAAAACAAAGGGAGTGGAAGTGAAAGCAGGAGGGAATGCAGAATGGAAGGATAGGATGTGCTCAGAAAATGAGGCAAAATGCGGGTACAGAAAGGGCCAGTATCAACTAGGTCAGATTTTGTTCCCTGAACTTTGGGTGATGGAAGGTGCGGGGTAATCTCCTCGTCCTCTATGCGCCATCTAGTGGCCAGAAAACAGTTGTCGTTTCCCACCCCCCGGTTTGAGAAACGAACAAGACAGGGGGCAGAAGATTTGAGAAAAGCTTCCGGGCAGCGTCCCAGGGATGACGCTCACTGAAGTCTAGTTCTCGGCGATTTGGATGCGTGCTGTAAAACGCAGCCCTGCTTGGGCTGCATGATCTCGCAGGACCGGGTTTTCAGGGATAATTGTTAAAAGGACGGCGGTGTGAGCACATAAAGTTTCAACAACTCCCATTGCGGTAAAGACAAACCATTTTATTTTTTTTTAAAATCCCCCCGTCTTTTACGATTTTCGTTCCCGCCAGAAAGGAGACTCCTCTCCAGATCTCGTGTGTGTGTGTGTGTGTGTGTGTGTGTGTGTGTGACAGAGAGCGAGAGAGCGCTGAGCGACACCCGCGCCCGCAGACACACACACCCCCGCGCCGTCCCTTCGCCTGCACTGCCAAGCCGGCGTGTGTGCACCGATTTGTAATTCTCTTTGTTCCTCTCCGGATCGATGCCCTCCTCCTGCCGCTGCACGCCACGACTCCCCGCTGCCTTCTTCTCCCTCCAGTGACATTTGCAGGCAAAGCCAGGCGTGGAAACCGCCTGCGAAAGAAGACCCTGCAGCAGCGGCGGCGGCGGGGGGGGGTTCTCTCCCCCCCCCCCCCCCCCCCCTACACTCCCCGCCTGCCTGTTTTTGCCTCCTCGCCTTCCTTCTCCGCAACCCCGGCGGCCGGCAGAGCTCCTCGCCCAGCGAGCCGAGGCATGGTCCCCCCGGCGGAGCCAGGCGCAGCCCGCGGCATGGACCCTCCCGCCTGAGCAGCCACGCCGCCGACCCGGGAGGAGGAGGAGGAGGAGGAGAGGGGCTGCGCTGAGCGGCGGTGCGCGATCGCCTCGCCCGCCTTGCCTTCCACCTCTGCCGCCGGACTTGTTGCTGCGGGGAGCCCAGCCCAGCCCAGCCGGGAGCGCGGGAGGGAGGGGGGGGCGAAGCCGCCTCTCGCCTGCGCCTCCCTCGGAGAGCCGCCCCGGCCCCCTTCGAGCCTCGATGCAAGCCGAGCGCTCCGGCCAGACTTTGCCAGGTAAGGAAACTGCAGGGGGAGGCGCCCGACGCGCCCCTTCCCCGCCACGGAGCTCTGGCCGCCAAGCCACCTGCTCAGCAGCCGCAACTCGGGGAGGAGAGTTTGCGAGGCGCCCGATGGGGGAGGCGAGGGCCGGCGGGCATGCAACTGGTGGGGGTGCGCCCGCGTGTGTCTGCGGAGGGGGAGAAGGCGGCCGAGGGGGCCCGCACGCGTCCTCGCCTCCCCTGGACGGGCGGCCGAGCCTCTGCGCCCACATCCTCCGCATGCAGCCCGCCTCGCCAGTCAGCCCCCGCCTGCCTGCCGCCGCGCCGCCGGCCCCTCGCTCCTCCCCGAGAGACGCGAACGACATCCAAAGGGACTTCCTTCCAGATCCCTCCCGGACCTCGCTCTCCAAGGGTTAGAACTCAACTCTTCTCTCCCGGTTCGCAGACTGTTGCATGTGGGGGAGGAAATAAACTCGAATCCCCCAAAGTGTCGGCTAGAATAAAAGGTTGATGGTCTTTGAGGTGCCTGTCTCATGACCTCCTGCTTATTTCTGACCAGACCGCCCCCCCAAAACTGAATGGTTCTGTTTGTCCTGACACCCTTGAACTGTTCCTTAACAGCCCTCTACCAGTAGTCTCCTCCATTTTGCACCCTGTCAACTGTTTGTGTTCCCTACTCTTCTCCATGAAACTCCAACATCTTTTTAATCCTTTTAGAACCGACTTGCTATTCAGTCCCCTCATGGGATTCCCCTTCAGTCCCTTTCATTGCTAACTCACCCACTCCTCTATTTGCATCTGAACAGACCTTTCTTTCCCTCCTTACTCATCACAGCTTCCTAAAGTCCTTCTACTTCTTGATGACCAAACTCCCCAACCTGTTTCTTTCCCCTCCCATCGCTTTCTGTCTCTCCCACATCATCCATGGACTCAATCTCCCTTCTCCTTGACATCTTCTATGACTCTCCTGAATTTTCTTCCTGTGTAAAATATGTCCTTTTCATTGGCTTTTCTTCCTCACCCTCCCTTTTTTTTTTACTTTCACACCTCCTTATGGCTCTTCCGCAGATGCATATTCTTCCATAATTTTTCTCTAGAGCCAACCAAATGTAGATTTCCCTCAGTCTTTCCTTGCCTTTCCCTCCGACGAAGGGATCCTTTTTCATTAGTCTCATACCTCCCCCCCCCCCCCCGAAATTCTTTCTCCAGTTTCCTGTTCCCCATACTGTTCTTCCGTATGTTTTGCTGAAAGAAAGCTTTGGTTTGTCAAAGTTTGAAGTTGCTGGTTTTGCCATGTACGCTCATTTCTTAAAACAGGAAATGTATACAGGTGGTTTAGATATGGTGTATGCATGATAAGAATGAAAGGAAAATTAACTATGAAAGGGGGGGGGGTCTTCACACCTCTACTACATGCTGTTTACTGAACACGCTGTGGTAGACAGGGAACAATTAGGAAGATATTCTTTAGCTGCTCTTTTAAGGATTTATCCCAGGCAACCCAGGTTCTGGTTTCCTTTCTTCTCAGCCAATTATTGGCAGCTTATTGGAAGTGTAGGAACAGGTGGGAGGAGATCTGTATTTGTCTTTTGGAACACATCACCAGGAAGCAGGATGGAGCAGGACTCTTCCTAGCTAGGAGGTTGTGCATTTGGTCTGCCTGATCAGTTGATTACTGCTTACTAGACCTGACAGGCTGGATGATTAGCTATTCCAGACACCATCCTTTCCCCGTATTTTTCTACATATAGGGGTTTTTTTTTCATCTGTAACCATCTGGTAAATATAGGCAGCATTGGATTTTGTACGATAGTGTCTGTCAGCTCACAATGTATGATAGTTTGCTAAGATCCTAAATAAAAGTATCTTAAACTGAGTTGAATGGATGGCAGAACAGGGAGAAATGGGGGAAGGTGACCTAAAAGAAGAGGGAAATGGCTATGGTCTTTGTCATTTAGAAACGGTGGGACTCCTAACTGTTTGATACACTTCTTTCCTTTTTTTACATTCTAGTAGATTGGATTGTTTCCCAAGAGCTCTCTCAGCAATACCAGTAGCAGCTTACAGAATGGCAGCGGGAGTAGCAGCGTGGTTGCCTTTTGCTCGGGCAGCTGCTATAGGATGGATGCCGGTAGCCACAAGTCCCATGCCGAATCCTCCCCACCAGGAGAGGAAACGAAGCCAGGACTCCCTAATAGTGCTGAATGTGAGCGGTACCCAGTTCCAGACTTGGCTGGACACCCTGGAACGCTATCCTGACACACTGCTGGGCAGCTCAGAGAGGGATTTTTTCTACCATCCAGAGACACAGCAATACTTTTTTGACCGTGATCCTGACATCTTCCGACACATCCTCAATTTCTATCGTACGGGGAAGCTACACTATCCCCGTCAAGAGTGCATCTCGGCCTATGATGAGGAGCTGGCATTCTTTGGTATAATCCCTGAGATCATTGGGGATTGTTGCTATGAGGAATATAAGGATCGACGACGGGAGAATGCTGAGCGTCTTCAGGATGATGCTGATCAGGATAATGCTAATGAAAGCAATTTGCCCTCCATGACAGCTCGAGAAAGGATGTGGCGGGCCTTTGAGAATCCACACACCAGCACTCTGGCCTTGGTCTTCTACTATGTAACGGGCTTCTTCATTGCCGTTTCTGTCATGGCCAATGTGGTGGAGACAGTGCCCTGTGGGGTAAGTCCTGGTGCCATCAAGGAGCTGACCTGTGGAGAGCGGTATGATGTGGCTTTCTTCTGCCTGGATACAGCCTGTGTCATGATCTTCACTGTTGAGTATCTGATGCGTCTGGTGGCTGCCCCAAGCCGATACAAGTTTGCGCGTAGTGTAATGAGCATCATTGATGTAGTGGCTATTATGCCCTATTACATTGCTCTTGTGATGACCAACAATGAGGATGTTAGTGGGGCCTTCGTTACACTACGTGTCTTCCGGGTCTTCCGGATCTTTAAGTTTTCCCGCCACTCACAGGGTTTACGCATCCTGGGCTACACTCTGAAAAGCTGTGCATCAGAACTTGGCTTTCTCCTATTTTCTCTCACTATGGCTATCATCATCTTTGCTACAGTTATGTTTTATGCTGAGAAAGGCTCGTCAGCCACCAAATTCACCAGCATCCCTGCTGCCTTCTGGTATACCATAGTCACTATGACCACACTTGGGTGAGTCCATTTGGGTTTTGTATTTTAGTGTTATGCTATGGACTATCTGTTTAAAAAGTCTGCTAAGAAAAGTGAGAATGTATCTGGACAAAGTGGTGGTTGTGATCCATTTATGATGATGGACACAAGTGTGACAGATGAAAAGGATTAAAAATCAGTAATAATAGGACATGCTCATGGTATTATGCCAGTGCTAAAGTTTCTCTGAAGTATCACTCACCTGAAAAGAGTGATAAAGTTGAAATCTAACCAAAGAAACTGTAGTTTTCCTCTGTTGACCTATAATGAAAAACATAAATATTTTAGATATTTTAAAGTTGTTTACATTCATACAAGAAAGAGCAACTACATTTTTACTAAGTTTACTCTGACCTCAGCAAATCTATTAAAACTCCAACAGGATTGATATGAAGTCTATTTATATGCATGTATGTTAATGAATTAGACATTCTGATGTATCATACAAGATGTTTGTAGCTACATTTCTAAGTTTATGCTAAAGTTAGTTCTATTTGTGCATATAACTCCTTCATTGCAATAACTTATTTATCATATTAGAATTTATGTAGGGTGTCCTATAATTTAGTAAGGCAGGGTAGTTTTTCAAGGTTATTTTGGCAAATCTAGTGGTCTGGATGTGGAGGTATAGAAATATATTTGATTTCAAAAGAACATACTTCAACATTAAATAAGGTACCATTCAGAGGCAGAGGTAGTTTAATCCATCTCTAAATCTCTCATTGAAAAGGTGCTCAGTTGGCAATATTGGGCCTAAATCTATTTAATACGATAAGCCAGTTTTTCATAATATGCTTAAATTGTTACACTAGAAAGGAACAAGAGTCCAGTAGCAACTTAAAGACTAACTAAATTTGTGGCAGGGGATGATCTCATACCCTGCCACAAATTTGGTTTAGTCGTTAAGGTACTACTAGACTCTTGCTCTTTTCTACTGCTACAGACTAACATAGCTACCCATCTTGATCTAAATTGTTACAGTTCAGTTTAAAAAGTAATTTTTCCCCTGAGTTCTTCCATATACCCTTATGAAAAAGGAAAATAATAGAGCCAGAAAACACATTTCATTTTATTTAAATGTTTAGCAATGCATTCCTAAGCAGAGTTATACCATTCTCACCTCATTGGCTTTAATGCATTTAGAATGGTCTAACTCTGTTTAGGACTGAATATAAGATAATCTGTATCTGAGCGTTACTTCATCAAAATAAAAGTAAGCAATTGATTACCTCAATATCATGACAGCTTGAACTGTGCTCTGTAAAATGAAGTATGAGCATAGCCTTCAAGAAAATGGAGAGAGTACACTGCTATCAATTCTTATTTAGTAATGTATTGTTTAATAACAAATTGGTATAATTATTATGGGAATAAATTTTGTATACTAAACTGCAGCTCCTCATAGAGAAGATTTGCCATTTTAGTAATGGGCAGTGGAATGGATAGGCCCTGTATAGTGTATTATTACTTTCCTTTTAAATGTTGCTTCACACATAGGACAAAATAGAGCCACTTAAGCCCTACTGATTTGAACGAAAGAGATTTACAGTGCCGTCCTAAACAGAATCACAGCCTTCTAAGCCCATTGATTAAACTGGACTTGGAAGGGTCTAACCATGTACGATTGATCCACATGGGCAGTCATGTTGGTCTGAAGCAGTAGAACAAAGTTTGAGTCTAGTTTTGTTCCGTTTAGGACTGTACTGTAAATCATGTACTTCATTCTTTCATTAGTATCAGTATGATGTAATAGTGCTCAAATCGGGCTGGATCTCATGTCAATAAATTAGGCTGAAACTGGATGGGATGGGGATAGAACTGGCTTTTATAGAAACTGGTTATGAATGAACTAGGGCATGAGGTCCAGTTTTAAGAGTTGCATGTAGTGGGAGGTACTGACCCCTTCCCCAGTCTTCCCTATCCCAGTCTGTTAAAATTAGTATCTTCATCTGGGAATTAGAACCACTTATTTAAATATTTACCACTATAATTGAAGTCAAATAATCTGGACAGTAGCTGTTATAGATCAGCTTGTGTTTTAGACACATTTAAGTGACTCTAGTAATTGCAGTATGTACCATCTGGATGGTCTTGTCCATGGTACTGAAAAGGATAATTGTGATTTTGTATCAGTACCTTATGGTTTTCTGTTGCTCCAAGCTGGAAATATCTTCTTTTTTATCATTGCTACTGGCAGCAGGCACTCTTCTTATATAGACAACAGTGCTCTCCTACTTCAAACTCTTAAGAAATCCACAGACAGGTCATATTGTGTGGAAAAAACCTGTTCACGTTGACCTTCTCTAGAAAGCTTAGTAAACAGAATTCCTAATCTGGTATGTTACCTCCTTTTGTTACAAGCTCACATACCTGCATGAATTATAAAGTTGTTCTATGAATATTATTACTAGTATTAGTAAGAAGGTAGCTAATACTAAGTATATTGACATTAACCCTGGAATATGGAGTGTTGTTGACAAAACAGCCACAACACTTTACTGTAATGTTGTGCTTTCCACATGGTATTCAAATTGCAGTAAAATACTAAAAGGTAATTTCGGCAGTAATTACAATAATAATTTTCAATGATATTTTCTGTGAGAACTGGGTCAAGAGAAACAACAAACAGAAACTAGAAATACATACATACACACACGTATATGACAAGTCTTCTATGTTATTAATTTATAAAAATGCTAAGCACACCAATCCTACATGAGAAAAATAATCTTTAATTTGTATGGATGGTTTTTAATATCTAAGTCTTTTAAGATTTGTCTATACAGGAACATATTTTATTAATTATTAGCAGTCAAATGAATTCTTACAATTCTGACAGCAGCTGCTGAGCGTATCATCAGAGATGCTGTAAAGCCATAAGAAAGTTGATTATAAGTAAAAGGCTAACTTTATGCATGTTGTAGATAATGGCTATTCTGTGTTTTTTTTTCTTGAGTAAGTAGGGGTACTAAATGGCAACCTTAGTAATTTGAGAAGTTATTATGCTGTGAGCAGAGCTACATTTCTCAGTTCTACATGATTGCTGTGCAATTAAACAGTGTTCTAAAAGTCCTATACATCATAAGTCCCCTTTACAGAGCACTACTCATGTTAAATATTGCTATATTTTAACCTCCAAGGACAACTTGGTTTTAAATTCTCTCAGACAAGAAGAGTCTTAAAATAGTGACTGGAAGAAAGTCTTGTACCTGTTGAAATGACAACCAAAGCAAACTTATACAGCTTTGTTCCCAAATCAAAGATACCTATACACACTCTTATTAGAATCTGCTACTTCCTGTTGCTGCAACATAGGTCTACTACATATTGGCTTAAGACCTCTGGTCAATGAAGCTAATAAATGAAAGGTCTACTATGGCCCCGGTCACACAGCAAAGTTGCCATGGGAGAGGCACGGATGGTGGGTGGATTATCCGGGCGCGATCACACCCCAACATCTGGGAAGTGGTGCGCACCCGTGGCTTACCGCCGACAATGTGCATTAAAAAAACTAGTACCTCCAAGGTACTAGTAACTGTTTGCCACGGGCTGCCTCCAGACACTCGTGGTGTGATCGCGCCGGCACGCGGCATTCCCCTCCGGTCCCTCATTTACCTGCCGGCGCCGAGGGAAGGACGTGGTGTGCCGCCGGCATGTCTGATCATGTAATCGCGGATCAAACTGCGCCGGGGCAATTAGCCACGCCTTCCCCCGATGATATCAGGCCCGTGTGACTGGGGCCTATATATAATGTTGGCAGTGCCTGACAGCTCATTAATAAATCCATCATGAAGACTTTGGCTGCTAACATTTGGATGAAATGAGAATGTGTATTTGTATATTTAGTTAGTGTTGTAGTTGATGCGCTAGCATATATTTTAATCTTCAGCTGATGAACACACACATCTTTGGGTAGAGAAATCACAACTAATCAGCCAGGTAAAGTTTTCGTATGTACAATGCATAACTGTGCCTGATTGTATTTCACTCAGAGACAGTAGATTTTTTGAAGGTTGTTTCTAAACAAGACTTTAGACTTCTTTTGCTGTTTTGCTGGGGTCAGCTTTTCAAACCAAATATATAAAGCTTTCATTTTTACCTATGGTATCATAAGCATCAGATTATTTCCAGTTCATTTTGCACTGAAAGCAGACACACCCCAAAAGTGCCCAACAAACCCAACTTTTTCCATGTGGAAGATGCTCCTACAAAAAGAAGGAAAGCATGGGTGTGTTTTTTTCTGGTACTTACCATCATTTACAATATGACTGACTCAAGGACTTACTTACAATACATGTCACCCATCTGGAAATAAAGAGTCCCTGTATCATATCAGAGCCAGTGATATGTCTAGTATTCAAGATCTGATCAGACGAAGGCATCAGGGACTGGATGCTGTGAGTAAGCTACCAGTTAGCCATCAGTGACTTAAACAATATTTACTGCTTTATAAAGCCTTTGCTCTTTATCATTCTTATTGCAAATAATTCTCAGTATCACTTACTTTCTTCCTTTGGTTCACTTTTTGTTTCCTATTGTCTATGCTTGTCCAGTTTACTGGACTGTGATGAAGAGTTATCTTCTGGATTTTGATAGCATGAAAATAAAAAGCTGCTGGTGGGAATGTTGTGAAAGCACTACTGTTTTACAAAAAGGAGTATCATTATACAGGCTTAAGTTCTTTTGAAATAGTTTAAGTAGTGAAAGCCTATGCATTCTTAATGATTCAGTTTAATGAGCGGCAATCTTAAGTATTTAGGATAGTGGTATTCATTTGGTGGCTCACAGAGAGCCATATTCACAATTGCTATAATCCAAAAGAGCTGCAATTACTTCTCCATCTGGCATGGGGCCTGCAGCTCAAGGAGGCTCAACTGTCCCTCCAGTGGTGGCTGGTTTAAGGTGGGAACTAGCTGCCAAGTGATCAAGGGCTTTGCCCAATTCTCTGAAACACAAGGCAAACTGGCACATGGGGAGCAGTG